CCTCCTTTGCGATCGCCAGTGCTGTAACGTCTCTCTTCTTTTGCAGGGCACGACCTTCCCGGTCGATCTTTTTGTGCTTCCGATTCACGGACCTGATGTGGTGCTCGGGGTCCAATGGCTTCAATTATTAGGTAAGGTCACCCACGACTATGCCCACCTCACGATGGAGTTTTTGTGGAAAGGATCACGGGTTACGTTGAAAGGGGGAACAACCACACCACGGCCAATATCCTTGCATCAGTTCCAGTCTCTTCAAGCACGCCGGGAAGTAGTCGAATGCTTCGAAATCACCCCGGTCTCCGAACCTACAGGGGGGGCCGATTCACTGCTCTGGCCAACAGACCTGCCAACCGTACTTCAGGCTGTGTTACAGCGTTATACGGCTGTTTTTGGTGTCCCTACAGGGCTCCCACCCCGGTGTGACCATGACCATCGGATCTTTCTTCAATCCGGGACAGCACCTGTTAATGTGCGACCCTATCGCTATCCCCATTTTCAAAAAAATGAAATTGAAAGGATGGTCAGAGAGATGCTTGAGGCCGGTTTGATTCAGCCCAGTCGAAGTCCGTTCTCCTCGCCGGTGCTATTGGTTAAGAAAAAAGACGGCACATACCGTTTCTGCGTGGATTATCGCGCCTTGAATGCCGTCACTGTCCCCGACCACTTCCCGATCCCAACGGCCGATGAACTGTTTGATGAACTCGGCTCCGCTCGTTATTTCACAAAATTGGACCTTCGCTCCGGGTATCACCAGATTCGCATGCATGAGCGGGACATCTACAAAACGGCTTTCCGTACACACGAGGGTCATTATGAGTTCCGTGTCATGCCGTTTGGATTGAATCGGGTCTCCGAGTTTCCCTCCACCTTTCAGGCTTGTATGAATCGGGTCTTCGCCCTCTACTTACGGAAATTTGTCATCGTTTTTTTGATGATATTTTGGTCTACAGCCCCTCTCTGGATACTCATAGTCGTCATCTGGAAGCCGTCCTAGAGCTCTTATTCACGCATCGGTTCTTCATCAAATTATCAAAGTGCTCTTTCGGCTCCACCTCCATCGAGTACCTGGGCCATATTATTAGCAACGGGCATCTCCAGGTAGACAGCGCCAAGGTCGAAGCAATGTCGGCCTGGCCTCTTCCCACTACGCTCAAACAGTTAAGGGGTTTCTTGGGCTTGACGGGGTATTACCGCCGATTTATCCGGCATTAAGCACCGCTCGCAGCCCCCTTGACAGATCTCCTCAAAAAAGACTCCTTCCATTGGTCAGAGGCGGCGTCCACAGCGTTTGAGGGGCTAAAAACTGCCCTCACGACCGCGCCACTCCTTCGCCTGCCCGATTTTTCCCTCATGTTTGTGGTTGATACACATGCTTCGGATGTGGGTGTGGGTGCGGTCCTCCTCCAGGAAGAACAGCCGATCGCCTATTTTAGCAAGAAATTGGGCCCCCGACGACGGACGGCGTCGACGTATCATAAGGAACTTTACGCCATTGTGGAGGCCGTCCAAAAATGGCGTCAGTATCTTCTCGGGCGGGAATTTCTCATTCGCACAGATCAGCGGAGTTTAAAGGAACTTTTGCAGCAGGTAATCCAGACACCAGACCAACAATTCTATGTTCGTAAGCTCTTGGGTTACCGTTTTCAGATTGTGTACAAACCTGGGTCTTCCAACAACGTTGCCGATGCTTTATCACGCCGGGATCAGCCTGACATACCACCCACGACGACGGCTGATATCATGGCCCTCTCCCAACCCTTGCCATCCATTTTGGAACGCATCCGTGCCGAAAATTGGAGCCAACCAGACCTGTGCGCCCTTCATGATCAGCATCGCCGTGGAGTATTGCCGGCTCCGTATACCGTGGCCGACGGGTTGCTCTTCTATAATACACGACTGTGCATTGGGGCAGACTCTAGCCTTCGTGCCGAGTTGCTTCGTGAATATCATGACTCCCCTATCGCGGGGCACGCGGGAGTCCACCGCACATTCCACCGCCTGGCAGCGTCTTTTCATTGGCCGCGGATGCGCGCAGACGTTCGTGCTTATATTGCTAAATGTGAGGTTTGTCAGAAAGCCAAGGCCTCGACACAGGCACCTGCCGGTCTGCTCCAACCCTTGCCCGTCCCTCAACAGGTTTGGGAGGATCTAACCATGGATTTCATTACCGGATTGCCACCGTCAAGAGGGTGTTCGGTTATTCTGGTGGTGGTAGATCGCCTCACTAAATCTGCCCACTTTGGGGCACTTCTGGCGGATCACGACGCCCACCGGACGGCTTTTTTGTTCACCGATATGGTCATTAAGCTCCATGGATTTCCCCGTTCCATTGTCTCCGATCGGGATAAAATTTTCATTAGCACGTTCTGGCGGGAATTGCACACTCTTAGCGGCACCACCCTCAAGCATAGTACATCATACCATCCCCAAACCGACGGGCAAACTGAAGTGATGAACCGCACGTTGGAGCAGTATTTGCGCATGTTCACACACGCAACTCCTATACGTTGGTCCATACTCTTGCCTTGGGCCGAGTATTCTTTGAACACAAGCTACCATGCAGGTCTTCGCATGACCCCATTTCAAGCGTTGTACGGCCGCCCACCACCGGCATTGGTGACATATTCGTCGGGATCCAGCAAGGTGCCAGCGGTGGATACTCTTTTGACGGAGCGTGAGGCCCTTCTTCGACGGCTTCGGTCAGATTTGGTGGCCGCCCAGAATCGTATGAAGCAGCAGGTGGATGCACGCCGGAGGGACGTCGAGTTCAACGTGGGGGACTGGGTTCTCTTGCGTTTGCAGCCATATCATCAACACTCTGTGGTGAGGCGTTCTTCCCAGAAGCTAGCCTTGAAATTCTATGGGCCGTACGAGGTGGTAGAACGCATCGGTCCTGTTGCCTACCGGCTACGCTTACCGGAAAATTCCAAAATCCACCCGGTTTTTCATGTCTCTGTCCTTCACCCTTTTCGTGGTACCAACCTGCCAGTGCAGCCCTTGGCATTGCCGGATGATCTCGTTGATGGAAGAACACCGTCTCACCCCGTACAACTACATGTAGTTCGTCGGGTTTTACAGCATGGGGTGCCGGTCGAGCAAGGCTTGATTTCATGGAGTGATGGTACATTGGATGATGCTACTTGGGAACCACTGGCGCTGCTAAAAGAACACTATCCACATCTCCACCTTGAGGACAAGGTGACTGTCGAAGAAGGGAGGAGTGTTACAGATTCGGATGAACCAGGGGACCAACACGTTCAAGACTCGGGGACTTGTCGAAGTAGCAGGGTTCGACGTCCACCGGGGTGGCACCGGGAGTACGACATGGGCTCCGTTTAAATTATCTTCTTCATTATTTATTTATTTACATGTACGTAGATTTTCCTAGGTGAGCGAACTATAAGCTCCTTCGAGGGTTTCTTTACGGTTCTTTACCTCGTCGCTTTTTTTGAACCGTCAGGATAGAAAACATAGTTAAATAGGATTAGGGTTTCCCTATATAAAGAGATGTATCCATTCCTTGGAAGATTATCAATAAACGTAAAACCCTTAAAACCCTAAACCTCTTGTATCGTTCTCTCTCTCATAGCCGCGCACAACCTCCGGAAGTGTGGCGGTCTTCTACTTGTGGTGTTCTCCAGCCGAACCACAGGGAGTCAGGGAACACTCCGAGTTTCCCCGTTGTGATCGTTCTTATCATCAACATTGGCTTATTTGGATGATGATCAAGAATTTGTTGCGAATGAACTCCATTGAATCCAATAATAATTTAAATATTTGAATTTGTATTTGCGAATACTAATTTGAATTCGTTGTTTTCGCAACAAAATTGATTTCGAACATTTAAATTTACAGAGTACTCCGTACATTGTATTCAAAAAAATATCATTACAATGTGTCGAATAAAACTCAAACATTTCATAAAATGTAATTACTGAAATTATTTTAGATTATCATGCAACATCAACTTGAAAAAAATGTACTTCGTTTGTCTCATTTTATAGTAGGGTTTTTATTTTATAATTTTGAATTCAAAAAATTAAAAGTTCAAGTTTAAAACTTGGGTGGAGTTTAAAACAAAATTTATATATTTATAAATTATAGGGTGGAGTTTAAAACAAAATTTATATATTTATAAATTATATCAGACATTCTACAAACCAAAACATGATTATATTGTTTTATAAATGAATAATAAAAGAAAATGTAAATAAATGAATAAAATTTGATCATATAAATAATGAACATGTATTACGGAGTATAATTTAAGATGGATAGAGTAAAATTTAGCTAGTACGTAGGAATAATGTGTAAAACAATTTAAATGCACTTTATATTTGATGTATCGCATGTCCTTCGTATCGCATGAATACAAAATGGACCATGCTACACTTACACCAAAAAATATACCACAGTTGTACACCACAGGTTTGCACAAATATTTTGATGGTTTACACCGACACAAGTGTTGGTGCGTTAATAAAAATTCACACGGACAGAAATGTTGGTGCATTTAACAAAAATTAGTTTTACACCAACACAAAGTATTGGTGCAAAACTGCGGGGTACAAATTGGGGTACAAACCTTGGGGTACACATAGCATAATCCATACAAAATTCCTTGACAAATTCTTTCAGAGATCTAAAGTTCATACCCCGGAGTATTTATTTTATGGATCTTGATGCATTTATAGCATAAAAGAAGTAGACATCTTACAAAATACTCTTTTCGTCCAATAATAATATTCTCGTTCACTATTCATAAGTTTAAACTTTATTCATTTTATTGACATGTTCTCGTTGCCCATTTGACAAAACAATATAGTCATGTCACCTCTAATTTTGTAAATCTTTTTGCATAGCTTTTAAATACTCCGTATGTACTAACTTTTATTTTTAAATTTCATATAATTATTCATATAAAATAATTTAAAAATAATTTCAGTCAAACATCACAACGCGCAATGGGAACATTATTATTAAACAGAGGGAGTACAAAATATTCACATGCAAGTTTATGAAAAATATAAGAAGGTACACATTTTAATGTAGACTTTGAAGCCGTGTAATGGTGTAAGCAATCACTCCATATGAACCCCACGAATAGTAGAGTAACTATAAAGAATGGAATAGGGACAGAGAATATTTTCGGAGATAAATAACTATAATGACCATCTAATTTCCAAAAAACATTACAACCAACAACTTAAGAGCTTATTTTGAGCTCTAAGCACAACTAATAACTTGCCAAAAGCTTTCCTGAAGAGCTTACTCTTAAGTTAAATGCTCCGAACAGAGGGGGCTCTTCACTTCTTCTTCGTAAAGGAGGAATACGATTCAATGACTTCCCAAGTGAGCGCCAGCGTTAGGGACTGCAGGACCGTTTGGAAGTGTCGAACGCACACAACTGTCGCTGAAATGTCTTCTCTTAAAGCCACGATTCCGGCTTCTCTGCACAATCCTTCCAATTCTGCCCCTGTGAAGAGGTCTGTGCTTTCAGCTAGTTGTCTGAGATCGACGCAGGCATCTAGTTTCATGCCCCGTGTATGCACACGGAGGATCTCATACCGAGCTTCCAAATCTGGCGGTGGCACATAAAGAACCTAAAGAGAATACAGATTCCATTTAGTTCTCTTTTTTCTACAAGGGTTAGTGTCATATTATGACACCAGTGTATTTGGGGCCCTACGGTGCTCCGTTCGACCCCAAAGTAGTTCCTACCCTCATCCTCCATTTTGGTGACAATCCACTCTCAATAAATTGGCAATGGATTGTCACCTAAATGGAGGCTGGAGGAGGGGAGTTTGTGGGAAGTAGGAGCCTCAAATGGAATGGTGTCAAAATATGACATTGGAGTTGAGTGTCAAAAGAACCCCAAGAAAACTCGTCCTAAAAGGGTGTAAACGGTGAGCAGTAAAGATATCACAAAACAAGGGGACAAAAAATAAAATTTTCCAAAATATCAAAGTATAATTTCGCATCAATGGCCCAGTCAGGAGAACTGATTCTATGTGCTCAAGAGTTGAAATAAACCATGAATAGAACTGTACCAGGTCAAAACGTCCTGGTCGCATAAGTGCAGCATCAATTGCCTGAGGGCGATTTGTTGCAGCCAAAACAAGAATCCCCTAACGGAAAGAAAGAGAAGGTATGTAATTGTGCCTTAGTTTTATATTATTTAGGTAATCCAAGGAAAATAAAGGGTTAAATGATCACACCTTAATTTGCTCCAGGCCATCCATCTCAGTCAGAAGAGTAGACAGAAGTCTCTCCCCAACAACACTACTTCCACTAGAACTTCCCCCACTGCAAGATTAGAGCGGAAGATCAGAAAGAGAGATAGTGTAGTTCCTTTTTAGCTGACAACATTTCAGGAAAATGTATGAATAAAGAAGGGCATAAAGATGATCTGATTAACAGGAAACACTCGACTCCCAAGACTGGTGTTAGACCTATTCCTAAATTAGTTAAATTAACTAAGACAGAAGGGGGCATTAATGACATAAACAATAGTTAGGTGAATGTATACATTTGTAAAGTGTGATTCTGGATCATTAATTGAAGTGAAGAGCTAACAGCTACGCCATTTTTTTGTGGAACACCTGGAAATTACAGCACATAAACTCACATTTACAAAATGGAATATTTTTATGATGAACTTACCGTTTGGCAGCGACAACATCTGCTTCATCAAAGAAAATTATGCTTGGTGCCGCAAGTCGAGCTCTTCAAAATGTATTGCGTAACAAAGCCTCGCCTTCACCGACATACATCGAATACAACTCTGCCCCACTGGTGCATTATAATGGAATTATTTTTTTCCGGGGG